AGCTAACTAATTCTGACTCATTCATCTTGAAAATCACTGGCACGAACGCATTCGGGATGAGAAAGGAAGCAAGAAAGAACTCGAAAAAGAATACACTTTCGATGGCCGGCTGCTTTCGAGGGATCAATAAAAGGCCGAGGGCCTTCTGCCAGCAGCTGACAAACTGCGACTCTAATCCTGAGAGACCTTGAGCTGTGTGTCTGCTCCCAAACTGAGTACAAATCAGTTTTTTAATTTCATTAACTGATAACATTGACTTCAATGACAGACAAATGAACAGATAAAAAATTATTCATGCCAACAACAAACAATTACGAAGTTTCTATTATTAAGAAATCCATGCTTCGAATAAAATTCGACTCGGACTCATACAACACCAGAATCTACATCAAATGTTCACTTCTACTTAGAATAAAGTTTAAATATACAAATTCATGTCTATAATGGCTTCAGGGTCAGGCAACTTATGGAGAAAACTCACTGAGAACTATTAATGAATTATATTACATACTATGCTGATTGAAATTGGTAATAAGAGGTAACTGTTGAGGAACAAGCCTATGAGACCTAAAAAGCAATGTATTCAGAAATTATCATCAGGAAGTCAGAATCAGCAAAACTTAGGATTGTATAATTTGATTGGTATGGCTACATCAGCTGTTAATTTCAAATGCATTACGTAGCAGTTGTAATTGATTCTTAAGAATAACTTCAGAAAACCAAAAAAACGAAACGCATTAAGTTACACCCAAGTCATTAAAATCATGGGAACAGTTTTATCCTTAAAAGGACGGTTAGCATTTCAGTCTCTTCTCGTAGCAAAATTCAAGCAAAAACCAAACAAAGGAAGATATAATCACATGGATGCTTACTTCATAAGTCCTACCTCACATTTTTCAAGATCAAAGCTGATTCTCAACCGCCTAATGATAAACTCAACAACAAATCGTCTACCATATTCTAAATTCACGGATATTGATAACAACAGAAATTTCTCGCGAAGCCTGTCTGACCCTCATTCAAAAGAAAATTGACTACAACTCAGACTTCCATTTTTTCCATTTTCACTGCTACACCGGAGGAATTTTCCTCTTCTTTGCTGTGTCCATTCTCGCCTTCTTTCTTGTCCTTTTTCACCTCTATAAAGTCATCTGAGGAAATTAGCAAGCATAGCTTAAAATTACAACAAAACTTGCTAAACTCGAAGGCTCACCATCTGATGCGCTTGAAGTGTCCATTGGTCGCTTGCGGTCAGTGAGTGGTGGTCTAACATCCGGCAAGCGTTCCAGACAAAGGACCTACAACAGTTATAGTCAAAAATATGTGAAAATGTAAAATGAATTTGATTCCAGTTATTTTCTTGCTAAAAGGCAGGCGAACCTTATAAATTTGGTTAAACGCAATCAGCCGGAGAGCGTGCTGAGCGCTAGCAGTTATCGCTTCTCTCTCTTGGCCAGTGAGTGGTGCAAGCACATCGACCGACTCTTTTTCACATGGATCAGGTAGACCCGGACCAGCTATAACAAATAAGCAGCATTTTCTAAATAACGCAGACTGGAGAAAGTTTACTTTTGAGGAGGACGCCACTTGCGACAGCTTCAAAAAATCGTCGAAGAGCGTCGCCAACGGAGAGCGGAGCCAAACACGAAGACAGCACTTTTTCCACCAAAAGTTCGCACATCTGAAAAATAATACACAGTCTTTTACAAGTACATCGTGAAAGAATTATTCAATTAAGTACCCAGTCATTCAATGGTCTCCAAGACTCAATCCTTGCTCGAATATCCCGCAAAATTCGCAAAGTCACCTGGCAAGACTGCAGATAGATGCATCTAGCCTAAATCCAAACCTTCAAGCAAAATAGGGATGTTAACCTAACACACTATGCGAACCGCATATAGTGGGAAGGATGAAAACGATGTAGGCGACAAGTTTCCAATTATGTTAAGAAATACAACTTCATAGAAATAATAAAAATGATTGATTACGTTTATTGAATAAAAAACATGATTCGCAAAGCAAGATTTCATATTTGAGCAGTGTCGACATTTTGAATGATATAAACATATAGAATCTGCAGCTACGTAAAACGTTGGCCAAATAGCGGCTACATTTCACAACATCTGAAAACTTCGATAAAAAACTGATTCTTCGGATCAATAACTTTAATGTAAATTTTCGCATAGAAATCTCAAAGAGCAAAATTTTGGGCATGACACGCACATCTGCGTTTCAACAGCAACGCAAACATTGTCTCAATTTCTAATCAGATCAACAACTGTTGTGCAATTATAGGTCATTGATAACCATTTATAGGAGGACTGCAGATGAAAATTTATCATATAAAATTCACAATTGCAATGGAATGTACACGCGTATATTCCTTCTCTCATAA